GTTTGAGGATTTCCTTTTCCCTTAGCACTTGCTACAGTTACGACTTTCTACTTCGTTACCTTTTTTTTTTTTTTTTTTGGTGCTGTTTACCGGGGACCCAGATAACTGAACATTTGATGATTTTCTCTGAAATGGGCTTTGAACAATGGGCCAAGGGTATCTCTTATCAAATGAGTCAGCTTCGTGAGAGTTCTTTACGTTTCAGAACCCCAATTTTAAAGCTGTTGAGGTAAGTAAGAGCATCGAGTATGTATTATAATTCAAAAGGGGTGCGAACAAGGGACTCAAGGCTGGAAAGTCTGTAAGCAGAATAATCTACATCTCTAAAATGAGATTTTCATAAAAATTTTATTTTGCATTTTTAAATAATTCAATGCATTGGCAGTATGGTTAATGCCTCTAGGAGAGAAACCAACACACCAGCTCAGCCAATATCATTTTTACAGAGACATCATGTTGGAAAACAACAAAATTACATTAGAATGTTTGTACACAGAGTTACTGTACCGAGAACAAAGCACCAACAAAATGCTTGTGCGCCACACATTTGAAATGCAAAGCCACACAGGCAGATAAAGTTTTATACATATGAAGCACATGAAACCAGTTTTAGCAACCAGATACCATTTCATTCCTTGCTTGATGTTAAGGACAGTGACCTTGGTCTATACAGAACATCTGAATTCTGATGAGACGAGCATGCTTACGAACAGTGATAGTTCGTGTATCTGCAACGAGTGTGACTATCATTGGAGATCTGCACTCAAGAAAAAGTGGTTCAAAAGACTCATTAGATCATGGTAAAGCAAAGGGGGCACTTCATGAATTTTCCATGGCATTTCAATGGCCACCTGGGCTGCCACCACTGTGGAAAAAGGTCTTCCACTAGGGGCAGGGCCTTTTCTTCTCAGGATCCAGGCCAGGCTATTTCTGATGGTTCTCCTTGTCCACTGACATGGAAGAAGCCCAGCCTAGGACACTGGCCCCGGGGATTTGAGCTGCAGCTTGGGGGCAAGCTCAGTACAATCCAGAGGGCTCAACTCATCTGAGGTGGCCTCTATCTTCCCTCCCATGTGTCTTGACCTATGGTTTTCTGTTGGAAACTCAGTTGGAGTGGAACAGAGCCTCTTCCCTCATGAAGGCCAGTGAATCCATGTAGTGGAACCATAATGTTATGATAAAAGTTCCCAAAAGGAAAGGAGTTTTCATTTCAAACCACTGCCTTCCTACAGCATAGTAGCCATGGCCTCCTGGAACTGCAAAAGAATGTTTTTTCAAGAAGGAAAAGCTAAAATCCGGCGAGGGACATGGCAAGCCAGACATGTCGCACATGTGCACACACACATACACACACAGAGATGACATGTTCTATTTGTGCAGTTATGGCTTGCCACAATGGTCCTGGGTCATGGTGTTGGCCAACAACCCCCC